CCCCAAAACCCCAAAACCCCAAAACCCCATTGTTTTAACAATTTTGCAATTTGGAAAATCAATAAATTAATTTTAATGGAAATTATCTAATAACTTTCAATTTTAGCTGATTTAAAGCTTCATCAAGTTTATTCATTTCCAAGTTCAACCATAGACATTTAGACTATGATAGTAGGATTAGTTGGGGGTATATTGCTTGAAATTTTGGCAAACATCAATATTCAGAATAAGCCACAGCAACTTTATTGTTTTGAAGTAATTGGTGATCTAGCAGTTAATTTCGCTTCAATAACAAGCTATTTATACAGATATTACCTTGATTAAACTTCTATTCTGAATATAATATTCACTTACCCTGCAATTTGGTCTGAATATTTAGCTTTCAAGAATCTTTACTCCAAATGCTTTACTTCATAATCCTAGTTTACAAATATTGATAGGGATACTCAATAACAAAAATCTTTATTGGTAAGAGAGACTTCCTTCTGGAAGTTTGCATCACCTTTAATCACAGCTGAGAGAATAATGATGATCCTAGATCCAATAACCGTTTATTATAGGTACACTAAGAGCATATTTCTAGACATAGGATTTTACTTTGGAAAAGGTATCATGAATATTATTTTTGAGACCATTTATATATTCAAAGGTTATCCAAGTACACTTTGAAATACAATAATATGATATCATAATTTCCTAAATATTTCTTTTCTAATTTTATTGTTGAATTGTTTATTATATAACTTTTATTAATTATTTTAAGAAAAAAGTTTAAGTTATGGGCAACTTTTGTGGTAGCAAAGAACTTGCATACTAAACTCATTAAGAACCAATTTTTCAAAATTATACTAGAAAGAGCACAAAGATCTCAATTTTCACATAGAGCTACTAAGACATTTAGGACTACAATGATGATAACTTGCTATGCACTCCTTTTCCTAACTTTTGTAATAACAATGGTGACTCTACTTAAGAAGAAGGAAGGACTACTAACAGAGGAAGCACAAAATAGTTAGATGATATCGACTTAAAAACAAGCGATGATGAATATTTTAATGTAAAAAATTACAGAACAGGAACTTTTAAGAAGCCTGAATTACGATTGTCTCTGAAATCAAGTACTTTTAGACCAATGTAAGAAAATAAGTCTCCTGAAAAGACTGAAAGAAAAATTAGATTAGGCTACCATCAATATCTTAACAGCAATAAAATATAAGAAACTGAGTAATCTGTAGCGCAAAATACTATAGATATGAATGACAAGTACTCTTCATCTTCAGATTCATCTAGTGATGAAAACTAGCTAAGATAAATCGATATTAGAAACCCCAGGCGTGGGAGCAGAAACCTACCTTTTTAGGATTCATCAAATCCACAATAGTATAGTAAAACAACGAAATTTCAACATACTCCTTAGATCAGGTTCCTTGAACTAGGAGTAGAAGGATAGAATAAAAGTCTGAATAAAACGATTTACTCACCTATCAATCAAACTGTAGTTAATAATAATTGGAATGATGATTCATCACTCAACCCAGTTTAAACTTCAGGTCTTTTGGATGAAATTACTCCTTTTTAATCATTTATTAAAGGCTCGAATTTACTTTAGAAAAAATCTGAGTAAAAGCTAAACAAGAATATAAAAAACAAAATCTCTCTGAATAATGCACCAAGAATGATGATGGATTCAGATGAAGATGATAAATAAGATGAGGACTAATATAATTTTGAAGATAATTTCAAAGGCTAAGATACTTAATTGGATTTGGATATGCTTAAAGATATGATAACTCCTCGATTTGATCTTAACACAAGTTAGATGCAAAATGTCTATTAGAATAATAACAGTAATCTTTTAGAGAATTCAGTATTTTCTAAAATATCGAACGACACATCATTCGATTAAATCAGAATATAGAACTACAAAGAATTCATTAAGAACTATGTAATAGAAGATAAAGCTTAGTTTAAGGACTTACTCAAGAATAATATATCGCCTCTTATAAAAAGAGAAATAAAACAAGGAGATGATCATAAAATCATATTTGAAGGAAGCTTTTGGGTTTAAATGCGTGCAAATGGTTCCTACGTCAATAGGTGGTGCTAATTGAGTAACAACAATTTATTGTTCTATGATGATGAGTATTCCTCAAAAAGTTTTCAGCCACCCTTAAACAAGATATTGCTATCAGAAAATGTAAATATCTAGAAGTCTAAGGATTTTTATGCTGCAAGAGATTAAGATAAATTTGAGTTCAAGCTGATGATTCGACAAAAAAATTCGTCAAACACTGAATTCATAAATCAGAGACTATTGAAAGGAATGGCTTAAACTAAATCAGACCTTAGCATTGGAGATGTTAGTGCAATCAATCTTAGAGAATAAGATAGAAGTTAGAATAATAATAATCAAACATTAAGTTTTTTTGAGGAAAACGAAATATTTAGTCCAACTGAAAACATAATTCACAAGCAAATCACATTTTAATCTCATAATTTCAATTAGAGTGCAAAGTTCATATTAATCATACAGCTCTTGCTAAAAATTATTAAGGATTGAAGAATGTCAGAATTCCGATAATTATTTATGTAATTATATACCTTTAGACTATTTAATTATGATAATCTCACATTTAGATTTTCATTTAGGGGTTTTGGGGTTTTGGGGTTTTGGGG